TCCTCCATTTTCAAGTGGGAAACCAGTCCCCCAGTTCCACTTTGGTACATTTCATCCCTGTGAAGCTGCCTTTGCTCTGGGAAATCCAGGCCTTGACACAGGACCCTGGAGTCCATCAATCAGAAGTCTTCATTCATTTGGCTATGATTGAGCGGCTCAAGGCTGAGCAGGTGGCCCAAGCTGTGCTCTCAGAGTTAACTCTGGACTTTCTCTCACAGTTGCTAAACAGATAGAACATAGTGCTATATCTCCAGGTCATTTGTGCTACTGTGGAGGGGGGATGTATGTATGCACCTTAGCCTGGGCCCCATAGAAGGGAAAGTGAATGGAGACATGAATGGAGACAAAGGTCTCACACACGATATTGCTCACTGGAGCACCTGGATGCCATCAGGCCTGAAAGTAGAGATCTACCCCAGGATGTTGCCCTGATGCGAGACAATGCATTCCATTGTTTCTTTGAGCTTATTGAGTCTAGTCGCTGTCGGCAGATGAAAAAAAGTCCACTTTGGTGCACATATCTCGCTAAATATAAAATCCAGTAATACCCCTTGTATTAGTCAGGTTTTTATTGCTGTGGTAAGAACCATAACCATAACCAAAAGCTTACAACTCTCAGGTCACACTCCCGATTGAAGTCGCAGCACAAGAACTCAAGGCAGGAGTATGAAGCCAGGAACTAAAGCAGATGCACAGTGCTGCTTGCTCCCTTGCCTCCTATGGCTGCCCCAGCCTGCTGTCTTACACAACCCAGGACTGCTTGCCAGAGGTGGCACCACCCACAGTGGGCTGGGTCCTCCTGTACCAATCACTGATGAAGAAAATGCCCCAGGACCTTGCCTACAGGTAATCTGAGAAAGGCAACCCTTCAATTAAGATTTCCTCTTTTAGCCGGGCGGTGGTGGCGCACACCTTTAATCCCAGCAATGGGGAGGCAGAGGCAGGCGGATCTCTGTGAGTTCGAGGCCAGCCTGGTCTACAGAGTGACATTCCTCTTTCCAGATGACTCTGGTTGTGTCTAACCAGCAGGCCCTCCTCAGGGTCACCTTCCTTGGCCCACAGTGGCTCTTCCCTATGTCTGTCCCTTCCACTCAGCACACGCTCCTCCCACCTCTCCTGGTCTTTAGCGTTCCAAACCTGAGTTGTTCAACTCAAGCAAGGCTTGAAGCACTCTTTGAAAGGAAATTACAGGGGTTGGGGATTTAGCTCAGTGGTAGAGCACTTGCCTAGCATGCGCAAGGCCCTGGGTTCGGTCCTCAACTCTGGGGTGGGGGGGAGGAAATTACAGGCATTTCATCAGGTGAAAGCAGGATGATCAGCAGTTCAAGACCCGCCAGGGCTACCTACATAAGACCCTGTCTCAAAAAAACAAAAAAAACAAGGGTCTGGAGAAATGGATTCTCAGTGGTTCAATTCCCAGCACACACATGATGACTCACAATTGTAAATCCAGTTCCAAGACTTTCAATGCCTTCTTCTGAACTCCCCAGGCACCAGGTGCTCACGTGGTATACACATATATACATACATACATACATACACACACACACACACATATATATACATATATATATGCATACACACACATATATACATATATATGCATACACATACATGCAGGCAAAATACTCATGCACATGAAATATTCATACACGTAAAATAAAACCAATAAATCTTGAGGCAGGAGAGATGGCTCGGCAGTTAAGAGCACTCGTTGCTCTTGTGGAGGACCCAAGGCCAATTCCCACCACGCGCAACCATTCACAACTCTGGTTCGAGGGTTCAAAGCCCTCTCCTGACCTCCACAGGCACCAAATACGCATGTGGTATGCATATGCAGGCAAAGCAGTCATAAAGTAAGATAAATAAATCTAATTTAAATGTTTTAAGAGAAATCTTACACACACACACACACACACACACACACACACACACGCGCGCGCGCGTGCCAGCCTGATGGCTCAACAGATAAGGACCGTTCACCATGCAGGCCTGACAGCTTGAATTTAACTCCAAATCTTAATGGTAGCAGGACAGAATTGACTCCTGCAAGCTGACTTTGACTCCATCATACCTTTTATTTAGAAAAAACAAAAACAAAACAAAACAAAACAAAAAAACAAAAAACCGTGCACATTAAAAAATAAAATAAAAACCTTTATTTTTGTGTTTGGTATGTGCCCATATCAGACCAAACCAAAAGTACCTTTTGAGTCAAAGTGCATAGAGATGTCTCAAAGCAAGGGAGTTCCTGGGGAACACTGAACACCAGCGTGTGTGGGGACCTTATCCAACACTGCGCTATTCACCTGCAGTTCACCTGCAGTCCCCACGCAATGGCCAGGAGGCAAATGAGGACGCATTTTTCAGTTAGGGGACTCAGGTACAAAGGGAACTCTTATGCCTTAGTTGGGGGGGAGGGAGGGAGAGACAGACAGACAGAGAGAGAGGGAGAGGGAGAGGGAGAGGAGGGAAAGGAAGAGGGAAGAGGAAGGAGAGA